ACAATATAATAGTATATATTATAAAGTTACAACATCAACTGAAAAAAACGAAATTATGTGGCATTAGATATTTCAATGAAGAATTAAAAGTATAAAATACTCACCTGTACGTAAAAGTAATGTTTTGTGACTTTCTCGAATAAGTAAAAGCAGTATTCCCAGATTTGTTTTTACAGCAAGGTTCTCTGTGTAAATATACGCATTTCTACATGAAATAGATATAAGTAATGCTGATTGCTTGAGGAACGTTACGGACTTTCACCAGGCGTAATAATGACCAACTGGAGGTGGACACGGGCTAGCAATCGGTCAGGCGAAACGCTCAAAGAAACGCGGAGGATTTGTGACAAATGACAGGTAATAAACGTATGGACAGGTACATCATATTTTGGCCACATACGACTAATGATATAAGGAAAGGACCAGGTATATCTTCACAACAAGCAAATGGCGTGACTTTCATAGTATTCGTATGTCGTCTTCAGTAATGCTATCTGTCGTTTTTGCTTTTGTATATGGACAGTTACATTTTTTTCATTTCTGTTTTACTATGCCAGCACATGCATGGTTCGTATATGTTATTTGAATGGCATAAGACCGAAGTAATAACTAGCCAATGAAACTGTCAATATCTAATAATGAAAAAACGAGAATAAGTTCAAATATCAAAAATAACGAAATATGTAATTTTTTCTGGACTTACACTATATAAGAACTACGGTGGCACAAAATAAGATGCAATGTGAGTAAAGTTCACCTTGGTTTCGCCATTACATCGAAAAGCAAATATTAAACAGACGAATGTAAATGAAAAAGAAAATATCGACATGCTAACGGGATCATTATTCAAAACATGTTTGAAGAAACTAGTGCAATATAAGAACGAGCAAAACATTTACAGGGAAATCCTGAATAAAGTACAAGGAGAATAAGACAGGTGTTCCGGAAGGATTAGTGTCTTCTGTTTTATCGGCGAAACCTGACATGTAAATTTTCGCCAATCCAAGTATGTTGTGATCCGTTCCTAAACGAGAACAAGGAACCGTCAAGAATATTGGATATTTCGAACAAGGAAATAGAGCATCATGACGACCGAAAAAAATCTTCACCAACCCGTATCTCTCGAAAACCTATGATGCGAGTCTGTCATTTGCCGACATCTTTCACGAAAATCGTGATAGTGGTACAAACTCTAGAATAATGAAGAATCTGTCACATGTAAACACCATTGTTTGGGGATACAGGAGTGTTGCTAATCAGAAATGGTAAAATTTACAACAGGGAAATTAAAATCATCACGCTTATCACTCAGTATGATGGAAAACTGTCATCATTGATTTCTTTGGTAAGCGCCTGATATAGAAGAGTCTGTCAAGTCTTTTATTTCCGAATCTAGTTGAAACACACGATGAACATGGTCAACATGCCTTGTTGCATAAACGAAAATACATCATCAATATATCTGAGAGGGAATTTGAAGGACTTTGCAGGACTGTCATTATATGTTTTCATTAACTCTTCGACTAAACTACTCTTGAACGAAAAAAAAAACAACAAAAACAAAAAATAAAAAGCAAAAAGAGGGGGACCCAACAGTTTGTTCCCATAGGTATGAAAATATACCTTGATAGATCTAACAAACAAACCATAAAAATATTGTCAAGTAAATATTGCGCAAGGGGAAATAAACAAATCTTATAAATATAAATGTAAACAGCTGTTATCTTTTTATAAGAACACTCACGGGAAGTTGGTTTACTATCTAGGGTAGTGAAGATGAACAATGTTGCTGTAACTGACCATTTCTTTGAAATTTATCTGTTAATTCTGACATAGTGTACCGAATAAAAAAACCCTGTTTTAATTCTTCATTATGCATCACGTACGAATATACATTTTCCCCTGAAACCTACAGTTTCACAACTTATGAAGAATTTTCATCAATTAGAATTCCAAACACGTTTAGTCTGTATTCATGTTTACAATCATCCATGGCGTAATTCGAAATAATATTATCTAAAATGCTGAAGATTATTAAATACATAATCAAATATATGAATAATAATGTGTTTTATACATTTTTGTATCATATCTCCTTCCATGCACAGAAAAGAACGCCGACTTCACGAAGATAAATTATATTCTCCATACATTTTTGTAATAACTCATCATTGGACTAGTTCACCTTTGGAAAAACCCGCTAACGCAAAGCCTTATTTTATTTCTAGCCTTAAAGTGTCTGCAAAAGTACAATCTCAACAGCTAATATCGATCAAACTGGAGCTAATTTTGAAATTTCCTGTTCGATGAGTCTAACTTTTCATCAATCATATTAATGATCGAACCGAATCATATATTCTTCTCACGTAGGAAGTGAATGATACGTAACATACTAAGAATGACTTATTAAATTATCCTTGATACCAGATAGGTTACGCATACAAAAAAGCAGAATTACATCAGATAATGGACCCTTACACTTTTTAAAATCAATAACATTTTTTCAAATACTTTTATTGCTTGTTGTTCCACGACCTTGCAAATACAAACACTTTGATCAATGTTTACAGATTTGTTATCAATAAATCTGGCATTAGGCAGAAGATAACTATGCTTATGTCTAAATAGCGGGCTGGAAGGTGTATGTGGTATGACCTGGCCACGAGGTTAGCCCCGCTACTTCACGGGTCTTGTTCGTATTGACAGAATTTATGATCGAATTCATCACACACTTGTAATGCCTAAATATGGCCTAGCGAAGCCATTCTGAAGATATACGTTAGTCCATTTAAGTTAAACAATGACCCAGTTATTAATATCTTTGATAGAGGAAAGAAAGAATAAATCCTTCAATAAGTAATATTCCCTAAAGCGTTTTAACCTGTTTTAATACATTCGAATAGTGGGAAGCTTCAGAATATACACACGTAATTGAGGTTCTTCTATGATTATCAGGTATATAATATATTAAGCAATTTATTAAACTTAATGGCTAATGCACCTCTCCATCTATTTTCATATTTCGTTCGATCACTTTGCAATTCCCTCAGTCATCTCCCAGGTTTGACATTTAGGCTCTTAGTATCACTGGCGAGTCCTAAAATGACGAAACAATGGTATAATGCAGTTCATTGTTTGGCTCTTCTGTATCTAAATAAGTATCTGATTCGCAGTTACATAATTATTCAGATCTGTCGAATGCCGTCAATGATTTGCAATATGCGTTGTCGACTTATTTTAAATGTACCATCACATGAAAAGATCTACACGAAGGTTGAATGACAGGCAGAGGCGTGCGTTTGATTTGGCCCCGGCTTCGGATATTTTCGGGGCCTTTTCCCCTTTTATAATGTTTTCTCATTCATTTCTGATCAAAGACTTTGCCAAGGATGTTTCCTAGTTTGGTTGTGACATATATGATTCTTAAAAGTGATGGAATTCTATTTCGTGCTGTCTCTTGTTGTTATTAAGAACAATGTCTTTGAATGACCATATGAAATAATAATATAAAATATTGCGAAGTGTTTAATCGTTTCTTAAAATGTCAAGAAATAGTATTACAAATAGTAAAAATATTCACAAAGATTATTCAGTTTATTTCATCTTAACAAATACATACAAAGTTATGTTATATGATCAAGAAATGTTGATGAATGTGAATAAATAAGTATTGTGCAGTATCAGACGTTCTATCATGAAAATAAACACCACTTTTCCAAATAACCTCTAACACATAATTCACAATGTCTTGTAACGTGATAAATAATAATTCGGACGTTGTCTTGTCTCTGTATGTCAGGATATTATCAGCAGGCAAGTTTTAGCTTGCATAATTTTTTGGATATTGTATACTAACTCTCTTAATATATTACTGGAATGTTAATGGTGCTCGAACAGACTATTCCTCAATTTCATATGTGTTACTATGTAATATTTCATCATTATTCAATTGCACACACATATATACTATTGAGATTTTTCCTTTGGGAGTGCTGACATCTAGTATTGTTACAAACATAATCAAATACATCATGATTCTGTAAGGACAGTATTCCATTTTTAAAATGTTACTTTAAGGATTAGGCATTACAAACAGTACAACGTTGAGTTTACCTTGTAATAGAGCAATTTATGTAAACATATTTTAAAGTGAAACATGATTTTTACTTCCTAATATCAGTCATAGCAGACATTACCAGAACAATACCATCTTGATATATAAATAATTGTTTGACTGATACATAATTAAAAATTTATTGAATTAAATAAAATAAGATCTACCAATACTGGCAATTGTGATGGTGGTATTGATTCATGCTTAAAATGGTTTTAAAAGTTTAAATAAAGTTATGATTTGAAATATCACCATATGGGTATGTACATTTTACTGATTTTATCAAACATATGAATATGGGTTTAAGAATATATATAAACATATAAAAGTTTTAAATTCTTTTTAAAGTGAATATTCGAACCCACCATGGTCAAATGGTTACTTCATAGTAAGTGGGAGGTAGGATGATATGCTACACTAAAGGATGAACTCGCTTACTCTTGAAAATGCTTGTTAAATAATATAACCGCATTTTATGATTACAAAGTCCATTTCATCCTACTCTAATATTTTCTGGAACATAAATAGACTTGTTCCAAGATTTTCTATCAGTTTGTCAAATGAATTGTTATATATTGTCTTTTCACATATATACGGTCAAGCCACTCCTTGATGTACACGCGAACTGTTTTCCTGAGTTTCAGAATATTTTTTTACCCAAATTCTGTTATGAATACATGGATCCAGGAACATATTATGTTCACAATCATCGCAGTCCGGGTTTGAGATAAATCAACTGAAATAGCGTCCTTAGAACCCATTTTCACCGGCTGTTGAGCTCATCCATTAGAATGTAGATTATGCCTGGACCATTTTCACAGGGCGATTGCTTAAGCGTTTCCTTTACCCTCGTGAATCTACCAGAAAAGGTTTTCACTTTCATAAGTTATCTTCTAGCGAATAGGTAACGGTTTTTAAGATCTTCTGGTATACAGCCGTTGTAGATTGATACCTGAAAACATTTTTTTAAAAACATTAAATTGTTGTTAGCCAGGAAAATATCCTAAACAATTTCAAAATAAATTAAAGGGTCACTTCTTCATTCGAACCTAGAAAAATGATACGCTTTCAAACTTTAAATGTATCCATAAAAGACATATTTTCCTCTCTGTTGCATTGTCGGCACAAAAATAATTTCAACGTAGGTATGACCCTTTAATACTATGTCGGGATTAATTCAGTGCTTTAAAGTAATAGAAATCATTTTTGAAAAAACATGATAAGAAACATCACTCTTAAAACTGTGTTATGTTTGTGTGGTTATCACTCTGAATATCAATTTTTATTTCCTTAATCATGAGATAATAAGAAACCATTAGAAAACATTTGATTGACTCACATCATCAACAAGTCCGAACAAGCCTTCCCTTGTCTTCGCAGAACATCCTCCTATCACAAGGGGTGGATGCTTGCTGGGTATCTCACCTATAGGAAACGACGTTCATACATCATTAGATGATTAGATGCGGTAAGTCTTGGTACAACTTACAGGATTACATCGCAACAAAAATTGGTTTTAATTACTAATTGGTAGCCAGTGTATATTGAGTTGTAGGTTAGAAAATTAAATTGTTCATCATGAAAAGGGCGTTGGCATTAACTGCATACGCAACATAATATTTAATTTGTTTTGGTAAGGAATGTTTTAAGCATTCCAAGCAAAATATAGAACTGTCATGTAAATCATACGCTGACACGAGACATTACCAAAACAGCTATTAGTTCTCGGCTATGTTGACACTTTTCAAAATTTACATGAATGTTGAGTTTCTAAGATGTTTAAACAGAACAATCAAAATCGACTTTTCTCTGACATCTCGCTAAGTGTCGATATAAAGGCTATTTTATCTGATAACATGTTTGTCGGTATATAATGATAACTGAACTGGTCTACATACCACCGATCTAATATCTCCACATGCATGGTTATATTATCTACCTGTAAAATTATGGACCTACCTTGAATGAACATAAGTTCATATGCATCGTCGACTGCTGCTACGAAACTTCCTCCGTCATATATCAAAGTAACATTGTTCCATTGTAGAGCCTGGTAATAAATATGGACATAATTTAGTCGTGTTTAGTTTCATTGTTTCCATAAAAAGCTTGTGTAGTGATTTGAAATATATATTGATATTAATCCAAAACAAAATGAAACTAAAATTAAAGATGTGAAATGTTAACACAGATATTTTCAGAGTTTAATGAAATGTTTTCAAAGTACCCAAAGTCATCTTTTGAAAATTGTTGACCTTGAACACGAACATCAATTGAAAACAGTATTTACGAGCTTTTGCAAACGTCTGGTTCTTTTATCAAACAAAGACTGCAATTTCATCATGATCGTTAAAGATAGATCAGTCGCAGTTGTTTTGCTCACCTTATATGGTAAAGTAATCTTATTTCCTGGGCTTTGAGTAGTTTCAATTTTGAAATCGACTACACTTTTCCATGTGTCTAATGTGATATCTATAGCAGCTATTCCGGATTTCTGATCACAATTAGACAACAAAGTCTGCATCCGGGAAGTGTAGCGATATGACAGAAAACGGAGAGTGATTGCAATAGATGATCCGATGTTCTGATTAGAGTATTTCCATAACGTGATTGTGCTGCCCTTGTTGAATTTAGCGATGCCTTGATTGTCTGTCCAGACATTGTTTTCATGGACTGTGTTGCCGCGACCAGATTTGTCTCTAAAAGCTGATCCCATGTCTCCTTCGAAGTCAAGGAACATATCTTTCTCGCAGACTGAAAATAAGACAATAATCGATTGTAATAAAATTATATAACATTTTGAACCACGCCACTATTTAAACGAATGAAAACATACCATGCTAGGAATTAAAGTTCATCAGTAATGTTTACCACCTGCAATCTCGAATATTGTACAAAGGACACACAAGTGAATAACATCTTTCCATATCAATATAAATAAGATACCATAGAGTCAAACAATGAATTAAACTAAAATATATATACCTCTGGAAATCGGCGCAGCTTGACTTGTAATGCACGTGCATTGTTCCTGATCAAAACGTGTTCCTGGAGCACATGGGAGAGTCAGAGACCCTCGCTTGTAGCTAAAGAGGTCGGATGGATTGGCCAGCAAGTTACATTCTGTTTCAAAGATCCGTATAGTTAACATAACATCATGAAATATGTTGATTATTTTTCTATATTCAAATATCATCTTTTATCTAACACGTGAAAACTTTCGTATTTTACATAGACTCATCTTGTTTTAACTTATTAAGATATTTTTTCTCTTTATATAAAAGGTTATTGAATTTGTTTACAGAACATGATGTATATGTTTTAAAGAGTAAAATTTCAAAGGAATTTGAACATCTTTCACCTTTAGGTTTTTTTGCGTTGATAAGCGTTAAATTAGCTCTCTCTTCCTTGGACATACAGTGTCCATCGTCCTGGCAATCCGGCATTGGTATACAGCCATAAGTGCCGTCCTGAAGCCCGTAACCGTACCCTTTGGCACAGCAACGGGCACTCGAATAGCTTCTCTTACAGCTCCAGTAGGCCCGACATTTTCCTATATACGTATGATTCGATACACCACGATTTAAACAGGGATCTGAAAAGACGGGGAAATTGTGTTAATGATATTTTAGATATAACTAAATCATGTGTTTTAATGGCAACGCAGAATTTTTCTCAAACTGGATTACAATTTGTACAAAGGACACACCAGTATACAACAACTTTAATTCCCGGAACGGACGTGAAAAGGTAAGGGGTCACCTGCCCTATCACGTGGGTTTTCCCCGGGTACTCCGGTTTCCTGCCACAGTAAGACCCCTCACGCGCTAACATCCGGGCCAACAAGAGTGATTAGTATAAGTTGACATAACTTGTTTCGCAATTGTTGTAAAATAAATAAAGTTTATTAAATGTATAACTAGACATAGCTTATTACTAAATTATTTCCGCATGATGTAAGGGGACTGAAATGTTTATGGAGGACATAGATAAAGAAAAGGATGGTTAACTATTGTACTAACAAGCATATAATTGGTATATGATATTAGGTTTCGGATGAGGTGTAAAGTGAACGGTGCATAAAAACGACCAAAGTTAAAAGTATTTGTTTACATTTTCAAAGAATATCTTTATTGTTTTATATTTCTTAATATAAACTTCATGTGAACAGAATATAAGAAAACATGTTACCTAATCACGTTCAATAATTTTGTTTAGTTGCACCTACCAAATTCACATTTGACACGAAGAGGACGCTCGCAAGTCAGGTTGCCTTGATGCCAGAAGAGTCCATGAGAACATTCTTTCTCAAAAGCTCGCACCTCCTTATCATGCTTTGAGCACTCAATAAACCTGTTGCAGTTGCCAGGTAACTCAAGTCGACAGTAGCCGTTGATGAAGTTACAGTTTCGGCAAATTTCTGAAGAGTAAAAAAACAATTTAGTCTTTACAAGCTTGTCGTAATCCTTTTGAACAAGTACAAGCTTATTTGAATTTTCATGGATATGAAAAGTTGATAAAGAGAGTCCAAGCATTTCTCCTAACAAATCAGCTATCAAATATGTTGATTTTCTACTGGTGATATTAACCACTCTGACATAGAAACTAGATGAAACACAAGCAAAGATTTATCGTTCTGTGTCTCAAGCAAAGTGAACAATGAGTATAACATTGAGTAAATAGGAAAACCAATTTTCTTGTAAACAAATTCACCAAAGGCTAATCAGAGTTAACGATCCATCTTAAGCTGGCCAAGGCATGACAATCAATGAACGCAGGGGTTTTGTATACGACCATTGCGAAAATAAACATTCAAATCAAAACAGGGTACATTCAAAATTATTTGGTGAGAAAGTTTGAATTTTCTAACAAATATTATTCCTTTTCAGTTAAAGTAAATACAAAGGTTTTCTTAAAAGATATACGTTTCTTAAATGAGACGAAGCATTAATGTTTGATTGGTAATGTCAGTTTGTTGTCACCATGTTTGTTTATTTGCTATGTTCTATGGTAAATAATGCAAATTTAATTCATTTAAGGAACTAACTATGGAAATACGATCAAACGCTCACTGTGACATAATTATCAAATGGTTAAAGCCTCGTTATCGTATAAGTGGCACATGTGATCACCTCTTTTCCTTTCTAATTGACAAATCGTACAGGCATATTTCATACAATTAATGTACTTAATGCACCCTTTCGACTTGATATTTTCTTGAGAGGAAACTCCGCGAAAATGGATTAAAACCAACATCACCATGGTATTACAATTAAAATGATAAACATTTACTAGGTAAGTGTATCGATAAAATTATTTTACCTGCTGCGTTAGAAAACTCCTGCAGTTGCGCCTGACCGCCAGCTTGAAATACCTCGCTAGTCACTACCGGATTAGTCTCTTGGTCTAGTTTTGTTGCTGGTGTCTGATTTTCGACGACTGAGTTTATATTTGCATCAGATGTTTCTATGCTGCTGGTAGTTGACTCAGATCCCTGAAGTTCAAAATTTAAAGTTGAGGAGGGAACGACAACTTCCGCAGCAGTTGTTACAGGTTCACTCGCTCTAGCAACGGAAGCAGTAGTAGTTTCTGCCATTAGGACGTTCAACATATCAACGGAAGTACTAACCTCTGAAGGAGTAGTACTACGAAGAATACTGTCTATTTGAGAATCCATGGAAGGCGGTAATGCACTTGTTGTTTCAGGAAACATTGTTGCTGATAGTCCATCTGGCGTTGTGGTACTTAATACAAATGGCATAATAGAAACATCTGGTAGGGAACCAGTATTTGACGGGTTTGCATGATTCGATTGAATATTGGTGTTTTGGAAAGGCTTTATAGCAATTCCTGTTTCAGACGGAAAACTCCCTGAATTTGGAAGCAGATCCAAAGTCCTGTAACCAACAGACGACTTTTTATCTATGGATGGTTGATTGAAGAATGTGTTGTCCCAAGTAGCATCCCTATTTAGTGTAGAGATTTTATTTTGGACAAATCTAGGTGACCGTTTTGTTGTGATTACACTTTCACCTGTCCCAGATCTTCCAAATGATCCACTTGTAATCTTAGCAAATATTTCAGATGCGTCGAAACCAATTCTTCCTGGAGGTGGGGGAGGGGGTGGTATCCCTCCAGAGTCCGCCATATCAAGATTTGAAAATGGTAGGTTTTTCGGTGGAGGAGGTTGTACAAACTGTGATGGTTGAAACACTGGCGCTTGTGGTTTTGATGGAGAAGGTTGTGTTTGTCTAACATCAGGCAATTGGCGTGTGTTATCAAAAAAGTTTCTCCCTAAGTTTGATGATGGCTTAGGAGAAAATATGAAAGGCGGATCTCTACTTGGTGGTTTATTTTGTTGACTTGCCGATCCAGTTTTTCGAGGAATACTTGAACCAGAAGTTGGAAGTTGTGCGTTCTTCCACGTCTCAACTATTTGCTGATTGCTTGATGATGAAGACGAACGACCTGGAGTACCGAACTCGACAAGTGCAGGGTCAGACTGATCCCAAATTGGGACACCAGGACGTCTAGCAGAAAAGGGATTTGTATTAACATTCATCGGAGGGCTTTGAAATAAACTGTCAGGGTTCATCGGTACACCAGGTGCTACTGGGGGACTGTTGTTACTGCTTTTTGGAACTGCAACTCTTCCAGGTGAAGCCTTGTCAACTATGTTCGTAAACGATCTTTTGCTGTTAACAGTTTCCGCTATATCTCCTAGTCCAACAAAGGGAATTCCTATTCGTGATGCCGCGAGGCCGAGTTGCTTATCTAATGTATTTGTTGAAATGGGGCCAGGGGACATAATTGCAGTGTCAATTACCCTGCCGCCAGCGGTATCACTCAAGAAAGGTGTCGTATCTAGCCAACCTGATATCGGAGCAGCATCATTCACCAGACTACTAGAAACCCTCTGAGCGGCGGAAGTCTGTGTGGCTACGCGTGACGAACCTGATACCTGATATGGCCATGCGAATGGCTGGTTTCCAGAATTGACAGTTCTACTATTTACATTAGAGGGTTGGCTAGTCTTTACGGCCGGTTTGGTAGATTCAATAATTGTTCTCTGTGGCTCACTTGGCTCTCCTTGCCCAAAGAACTTAGCGAATGTGGCATCCTTACTTATAGATTTATCAAGCTGAGGGGGAGGGGGAGGAGGAGGAGCAACCCCATTTGATACAACTTCACTTTTACTATCTATCTGTGTAGGTACACCAGCGGCGGTATTCGGTAAAGAGGGTGCGGTGAATACGTTTTTAGGAACGGCAGGTTTTTGGATAAAATTTTCAGAAGCTGTTTTCGTATTAGAATTACCGAAGTTCGTGTTAGTATTAACAATAGGTTCAGTTACTCGATTTGAACTAAACATATTATCATTAGTTGAAATTTGATCAATATTGTCTCTTTGCTTTGAACTACTTTCTTGAGAATTTAGGACATTTCCTGTATTGTGGGCAAGTGAGGAAAATTCCTTTGTTGGGTTAAAAAAATTGACACCACCGAAAGCGGGAATTCCAGCATTAAATAATTTAAACATATTCTTTAATCTCGCAATTTTCATTTCCCTTTTTTCCGCGAAAACATCTTGCCTGTTTTTGGCTTGAACCTCTGATTTTGCAGCTGGTAGTGAAAATTGTGGAAGCCTCTTCAGTTCAAACTTTTCTTGGTCTTTGAACAAACTATCAAATGCTTTTGATGCTGCAGCGGGCGGGGGAGGTGGCGGTGGAGGAGGTGGTTGAGTGACAGGCCTTTGAGTAGTGACGATTTCTACCGGAGGCTCACATGGAGGTTCAGTACATAAATCAAACTGAGTATTGTCTGGACCAAAGATATCCTCACCAAAAGGATCACCACCATCAGCACCATCACCAAATGGATTACCAAAAGGATCATCGAAAGGGTCAACACCTCCGCTCGGGGGGATATCGAAGGGAGATTGGCCTAGCCCTGTGTTATCTACCATACTGCCAGAATCTGACATGTCTGGAGTAGTAATGACAGCATCGGTAGTAGTAGCGGACCCAGAATCGGGTTTGATATCGATATTTGTATTACCCAAATAGGATGAGTTCAAGCTTCCTCCAATTACGATGTCTGTTTCATTACTTGTCGTCACATTCACGGAAAACAAGTCATCCCGAGCCACATTTGTCATATCATCTGACGAAGTATAATTGTTTGGTGGTGTTATTTCGTCTGATTTAGTCATATTGCTTGACATGGTAATATTTTCTGCCATCTTATTGCTTTCAGAACCCGTGGCATTAATATTTGACATATTCGTATTGTCATCCAGTGTAGTTGTATTACTATCAGACACAGTGGTGTTGTCATCATCGACGGATGCATTGCTATTTGAAAGCGTCGCATTATCATCCAGGGTTGTAGCACTGTCTGAAAATGTTGAGTTGTCATCTGATTTATTTATAGTAGCGTTATATGATGACGTTGCATTTCCATCTATTAAGGAATCGGATGTCACATTGTCTGCTGTAGAATTACCGCTACTGACATCATCCGACGTAACGTTGGTCGTTGTGTTGGTTTCTAAATCAGTATTGTTCATGGGACTAGTGGAATTACTTTCGCCAGCCTCATCAAGTGTTGTCACATTACCAAAGGTGTCGGATGCATTTGACGTAGTCACATTAACTTCAGAATCAACAGTGCCAGTATCAACAGGTCCTAGTGGTTCTGGAAATATATATATTGACAATATTACAACACATGAAACATTTGCTGTATTTTGGTAAACATAAGCTGATCATAAATCATGCTTGTAAGATATTTAACACATTACCTATACACACGTATCACTCGTCCACCTATTACTTATTGAATTCGTCATGTGATATGTTATGCGTATTTGTAACTTGTTTAATGTTCCCGGGAGATTTCAATTTGGCTGCGTCAGTAACCGATTGTGATGTCATGATATGGGTAATGATGTTACGTCATGAATTGACCACGGCGCAACAAAATGGCTGCCTCCGTTTGATTTGGTTCTCTGCAGTCAAGATGTAACTAGTTATTTTCTAAATTTTGTGATGATAAAACTACCTTAACTATGTTTTCATTTTTGTGAGATGAAAATCATTTCATGCTCGTAAGATTTCTAAGTAAATCGAATAAAATATAATAAAATAAAAACTTCTCAGACTTTTTTCATGAAATCTCATATGAATCGAAAACTTGAAAAATTGAAAAGTTCCTGGGTCGGATACAGAAAGTGTTAGTGTAATATCAAGAAAGACCTCAGCGCAGTTTTCTTCAACAAAGACTTAACTGGGAATAAGACAAATCAAATATGAGATAGTTATATATAAGAACATTATGGTATTTGAAAAGTATCAGATGGTTCAAAAGGTGAATAAAAATGTCTTGATATAACGCAAATTTTATAATCCAAATGTTACAAATCATGTTTTAAGATAATACATAGGGCTAGTGTGTATTGTGTGATATTAGATATTAGACAGCGTCCCCCAGTCCAACAAGGATCATATACTATTGTTTCATATTTAACACTAATCATGAGGTCAGTGACTATTGTTAGTAGATACAATAACTGACAGGTATGTGACACCTTGACACGACCTCGTGAATTTACTTAAATACGCTTCTCAAGCTGTTCGTCGCTGATACCAGTAAAGTTAATTTGAGTAAGCCCATCGTGATGTATGACAGCAAACGGTATTAAGACGATACAAATGATACACCTTCCATTGAGTGGGTGAAGGAGCCAGATATTGATGGATATGATCGTGACAAGAATAACCTGCTAAAGGCTCAGATGATCGACACAAATGATGAACAATGATAATTTAAGATAAACCAAAACATTAAGTATATGCAAACTACTTGTGTCACTCGTTTGAAGCGATCATAGTTACTTCATAAAAACGTCGTCTATCATTGATACAAAATATAATTAATATCATTTGGTGTTTGTCAATGTCGAATAAAAGATATTTACAGGAATGACGGAACATCGTGTCTCTATTTGTCTTTATTTTACACACATTGATGCATTTGATACCGTTTTAGTTCATATGAAGCGTTTTGACATTCAGATTAGATATCCATATATTGTCATTTCATATACTTGTATATTGATTTAGCTAATGAAAAGAACTTCACCTTATCAATATTAATTATAATGGAAGAGCAAGGTATGAAAGAAAACTTGAAGTAATTTAACACTACAATCGTTTTTATATTAAGCGGGAGATACGTTATATTTGTCGTCAAATAAGTTATCACAACAAAACGATGTAGTTGGATATTTGGACCACTTAGTGACGTTTTATAACAGTACCGAAATGGAAAAAACAGCAAGCTTATCTTTCATCATAGTAAATGTTGCCATGTTGGGTGCATTTCTAGTAAAAATTGAGGTACGCGACTGATATACACATTTATATAACATCAAGGATATACCAACATTTCAACAGAATCATAATCCAAACTTAACTTAAATAAAACTAAAACAAAATATGAACAAAAGAAAGATTTACACGAAGAGTCCCGAAAAAGTACAAGGCGAATAAGACGTGTTACAGAAGAGTAAGTGTCCTTTGCTTCATCGACGACAGCCACCATCACCAAGTAGACCTTGTTCAATACAAGTAAGTAATGTCACGTTTAAATGAGAAAAAGGTACAACACAACGGAACCAATATAGTACAGTCCGTTCTGTCTTTTATTTATAATCTTATTGGGTAGATCAGATCAGCATAAACATTTCATCAGAATGTGTACAAGTCAAACTTCAGAACTCTCCAATAACTTTGTACTGGTTTCAATAAGTTTTTTTTTATTGGTAGTCAAAAGTTGTTTTAACATTTTTCCATCAAACTACACGAAGATCAATGAGAGATGTCAGTGCCCTCACGGAAATAACATAGATTTGCAATTTATCGGATGACAGAATGGAATTACTAACCTTGTCAAGAAAATCGCAGTTGATGTATTACGTAAGATACTTGAAGGGATCAATATATGAAGTATTTTACCTCTGGATCATTTTTATATACTTACACCGTCTACATATATCATTATTTACAAAATATGGATTGTGAATTCCATTCTTACATGAAATGCTTTACTGCTGATTAAGGTAGTACAGTCGAACATCGATATCTCGAACTCGATGGCCCCGTTTAATTCGGTGTTTTTCGTTGGTCCCGTGCAAACATCACACCGCTCCATCATCTCCCAAATATCCTCGGACAAGGGGACATGTTTATAAATCTAAACGTGCTATTAATTCATTGGTTTTTCTATATGGAACAAACGTAAAGCTAAGCCAAATATGTCTAGTCTGGGATCCTAGTATTGTATAGATGTACAGCCTTTATCTACCGGTGTGTTAGATTGATCTAACGACTTTTTACCTATTTTCGAAATTCACATTTTACCTTTATGTAACCCGAACTGTTAATAACAGCATTTTATCTAAACGCAATTGGCCTGGCCTAATTCTCCCTGAACTTTTTCAGGAATCTCCATTCAAATCTTTCTTTTGTTCATGTTTTGCCCTAGTTTCATGGAATATGAAGTTCGGATTATGATCATGTTGACGTGTTGATATTTTCTTGACTTTTTTATAAACAAAGGAACAAGAAGTAAACATTAGATCTACCAAGAAGTTTACTGGACTTGGTAGTGGCTGTACAAACGACACGTGGGTGAAAAACACATTTCCATACAAATTTAGAATTAACTACAAAGAGTATATCAAAGTGAATTAATACAAACGCTACACAACTCGATAACAATGAAACAGTCGGTGACAATATAAACCGAGCCTCCATATGGATAGGCATGTAGTCTGGTATAAAGTGGCGAGTTATTTACATACAACATGTATATGTTACTCTAGGTAAGCATGTTCGTTTCCATTATATTAAGTAGATGTAGACAGTTCTACATAATTTACTGTCACTCGTGTGTGTAAATACCTGAAGTTGACCGCAAGATGACGGAAGCAGACGACATTTGACCACGCCGGAGCAGGGCGGGAAAATAACATAGACATTTGACACTAGGCGTGAGTTTAGGGATCAATGACATCAGAAAATGCACCGTTCGACTACTCCTCTGTGATGTAAAGTCGATTATTTCAGAAATATCGTGACACTATGATATCAGGTACGGCTATTTTCTTTCCAGATTTTAATGTGAAACGAACAACAAAGTGTTTTCTGCGGCCATGTAATGACGTCATGTAAAAACTTGTTTATGTAAATGGCCTCACTAGTTGGTGGTCGTCTTTTTTACTTGTTTACTACTTTTTAAGAAACCTCTGTTTACCACAAGTCATCCTCCTGAAGCCTAGAATATGAACCTCACCACACATATGAACTAAGCAGGATGCTGGTTCTCCGAAAATGTCTCCAGCTGGAGTTTTTTCTCGTCTGACTGTGTATGTATTGTTATAGGTTGTCATAATCTTTGTAGAATTGTCACAATATAGAAAATTAATCATATCAGCAGTATATTGAAAACCAGTATATTCTTAACAAATAAAAACAGCTCATAAAGTTACATTGCCTTAATTATACAGGAATTTTTCAGTTATCAATATGTTTTTAGTCAGGTGCGACATTCAAAGAACAAACCGCATTCCTTTACTTTACTCCAGATTTGCTCAGTTGAATTTCCCTAAAAAGCTTTACTCACTATCTGAAAACATTGATCATCTAAAAAATTCATCATTTGGTTTTAAATTGTATTAACAAAATGGCGCGTCTGTCGAAATAAGAGTTACAGACATGCTCCTAGTCAACGCACTTCAATACGAGGTTGTAAGACGTAATGGGTGTAGCCAAAAAACGGTATCAATTATGACAACGGTTTAATGAAAACTATTCAACATCTGACTGCCCGAGAAGCGGATGACCACGAGTTACCGCCCCTCGTGAAGACCGTTGAATACTGCCGTAGCACCTTCGGGATAGGTTTCGTCCTGCAACCGTTACAGAAAGGAGTTTGCTGCGTCGACATGTAAGCAGTTAGACTATCAGTAACAGGCTGAAATGTCACCGAATGTATGCAAGGAGTTCTTAACCCATTCTTTTGGCGACACCATCGTACCAATCGCTTTGCTGGTGCTTGGCTTGTGAATAGCACACACAAAGGTATTAGCTAATTCAGTGGCCTTGACATCATTGTAATGAAATGTGTCTTCTCTTGGGGCATCCACAATATGTAACCGACGTTTACAGTATTGTAATCTCTCTGCCGTCCAAAGTTCAGTAAGATAAGTTTGTTTTCCTTTTCTTTTTTGTTTGGGGGGGGATTGACGTAAAATATAACAAATTTCCTTGCATGGTGGATGAACTATAAATTATCAGCACAATATGAACATCCTTTTAACAACAAATAAGTAGGTATAACATGGTTATAAACAGTGCTTTCAGTACACACTTAGCACATTCTGTTCAAAATGTTTAAAGTAGAAAAGTAGACGATGACACATTAAAAAATCCTATTATGTTTCTCATAGCATGACTGTTACAACTTTTGACTTTTCCCTCTGCCATCTAGTTTTACTTTTGATAACGTCTCCGTGGACGGTTCAGTTAAATTTGAGTTAACCAACCCTGAGAAGTCCAAGGTACCACATCTATATCTATTTGATGATACCTAATTGTGTTGATGCTTAGCACGACCTTTGAACCTTGACTTGACCAAAAATACGTATTCTTGTCATGTGATTGTTACTGTTGACGCTGTACTTTTACATAACAGAACCATCACAACCAGTGAACATGGAACATCGGTGTTTCAGCATCTGGAAATTAGGAATTCTTTTATATGGATACACAGGCAAGCTCTCTAAAATTTGACATTGGTTAGAATTTTAACTGATAGGTTTGATAAGATCATATGATATAAAATACTGTATATCTGGTTATTTTTGCGGATATAATATTTTCGCTTTTTTGCGATGCATTAACGTGAACGCGGAAATTTAACAGTGTGTATTAGTTGTCATTTACATGCAGATAGGTATAACACAAGGATAGCATTCAGTGTAGGAGTCGAGTTGATTGATACGTCAATACGTTCACCTGTCGTGATTATATAAAGATATGAGTGGATTGAAATGAATAGTTCATGATCAGAAATATTAACTAATATATCTCGCATGCTAATGGGGTTATGGTGTCATTGCCTAGGGATATAGCTGACTAAATAAAAGTATTGCTGAGTTTTCTTTCCCACAAAATTAACATAAATTTATAACAAGAACGATTCGGATGATGGTAGACTACCACGATGACTTAACATCTGATTTAGTCTCAATGATATTCATTAGAATGTACTGGCAACAAGAGGTATAAAAACAATTCTTCTATAACACCGAACTTTGTAAAGACAAAACGGATATTGTAGTCTTGATGAAAAATAGTACAAAATAATTCATTAACTGTATAATTAAAAAGTCTCAATCAAAGCTTTATCTCTTTAACAGGTATGTTTTGTCTTCCCATAAATAGAAGAAAATTGTCGATATTTCAATATATTAAAATTCAATCCGCCATTTTGATTTATCGATTGAGTGATTTATCATTGATTATACGCTTACGCCTTTGTGCATGGAAACGTACTTTAAGAAATTCAAATTAATATCAAATGAATACATGAAAATACAGCTTTAACTTGATTCGAGAGATACAGAATTCATATGATCTGATCTGACCAACGGCGATGCTAATTACGACAGATTATAATGTATAAGGCCTTTCTATGTACAGAAAAATCGTTTTTTATTCTTAATCAGATGCATGGGTTCGCTGATATTCATCGTTCTTTAAGGAATGAATATCGTACACACTTTTGTATATAGCTTAATAATTTTTTTTCTATTTCCCGACTTCCTTTTTACCTCTGACCTGGCAACCTTATTTGAGTTGGTAATTTATTCCAGTCGAGAATGTTTTTGGATTCTGTGACAAAACGTCCTTTAAATGGCGTCTTTTTGTCATTCAACCAACTATCATATTGATAGTCGGGACCGATTTGTCCTTTTTCTTTGATTTCATCCTGTATGTTGTCATTTGATACTAAAATCAAGTGGCCTATTATCTACGATATGTTTCATCTATGACTGAATACTCATAAAGAACAAAAAACGGAACATTAATTTCAGTTAACGTGTCTACAATTAACTAAGTCAGGATAACCACGATGATTTGGTTAATGATTTACGCTGTGACGAGGGCATGAATATTTTCGATTTGGAAACTTTTCCATTGGGGTGACAGTTTTCCATTTTAAGATTAAAAATATTTTTACAATTTGCATATGTTATGTTTAAAATGAGTGTAACCTAATTGAAACTACCGAAATATCGACTTGATGACTACTTTCTTTGTTATAGTAATAGTTCGCTCGGATTTATAATTATTCGAATAATATATTAATGAGATGTTCAAAACGAGCCACCACAAATATCTCATAACTTATAACCGTCCCATGGGAATGGGCCATCAGAAAATATTAACATATCTCTCCTAATGTAGACATACAGTTATCATTGCGATATATTTCAATTTCTACTCAAGTTGGATTAATTGAAACTCCAAAATTTTGCCAGTTTTATTTGTACATCAATTTGATCAGATTAGCATTTATAACTTTCTAAATCTGTCTCAAGAGCAACTCAATTAGTCATCGCGTAACATTACCAAATTAAGGTTCAATTCTAAGAACAGAGGAAGAGCATACGAAGATTGATCAGTCGTCAACTAAAGAACACAAATTCTAACATAACTATCATACATACCGCAATTGCAATCAATTAACATTCAGTTGATTTTGGTCATTATACTGGTACATAACATTGGATAGCTATCAGGTTAATAAGTAATACTAAGCTATAATGCTAGCCAATTCCCTAACCGAGAGAAAAGGTCCTGCTAACCAATTCCTTAACCGAGAGAAGAGGTCCTGCTAACCAATGTCCTAACCGAGAGAAAAGGTCCTCATAGCCAATTCACTGACCGAGAGAAAAGGTCCTGCTAACCAATTCCCTAACCGAGAGAAAAGGTCCTCATAGCCAATTCACTGACCGAGAGAAAAGGTCCTGCTAACCAATTCCCTAACCGAGAGAAAAGGTCCTGCTAGCCAATTCTCTAAACTTGAGAAGAGTTCCAACCAATCAATTCCCTAACCGAGAGAAAAGGACCTGCTAACCGATTCCCGAACCGAAGGAAGAGGTCCTGCTAACCAATTCCCTAACCGAGAGAAAAGGTCTTGCTAACCGATTCCCTAACCGAGAGAAAAGGTCCTGCTAACCAATTCCCGAACCGAGAGAAAAGGTCCTGCTAACCAATTCCCTAACCGGGAGAAAGGGTCCTGCTAACCAATTACCGAACAGAGAGAAAATGTCCTGCTAACCAATTCCTTAACCGAGAGAAAAGGCCCTGCTAACCAATGTCCTAACCGAGAGAAAAGGTCCTGCAAAAGCAATTCCCTAACCGAGAGAAGAGTCGTGCTAACCAATTCTCTAACCGTGAGAAAAGGTCCTGCTATCCAATTCTCTAACCGAGAGAAGAGTTATGCTAACCAATTCCCTAACCGAGAGAAAAGGTCCTGCTAAGGATAGTTAAGTATCAGTCAAAATAAGATAGTAAAAGCCCAGAGAAAACATAATTTGGTTCAATAAATATTGGATTTCAAACGCTGTTTTCATTACTATTTCTACTGCTAAGAACAATTTATATTGTATTAACGAGGCATTTAGTTAAATTCTCATGGATTGCAGATTCTAGCGTGTAGCAGTTTGCCTTTTATCTTTTGTCTAGAACTAATTTATTGCTATTTTCTCCCTGACATTTTGAATTAAATAAATCCATTTTCTGACAGAGATCTATCCCAACTTAGTTTATACATACAGAAATTTTAATTGATGTCGTCTCTGATGTTGTACAACACTGTGGATTTCACATAGAGATCAGTCGAACCTCGTTATCTCGAGTTCGGCAGGACCATAGTAAAACTTTGAGATAACCGAGTATTTAACAACAATAAATATGATTAGTTGCAATACATAAGAAATATATATTTCATTCGATTGTTTAAAGCTTGTTATATGATCTTTGCCACCTGCCCGATTTATCTCCCTTTTCTATTACTCAGACTACCGCCATTGTCACTACATTACATTACAAATTAAGAGTCAAGTTAGTTGTGTCATCTGAGAATTAGGTCTTGTTTTGTAATAGCCCATTATAATTTGAAATTTAATATTACGTAATAAGACACCAAACAGGACTTGGCCCCAAACCGGTGTACTACAGGTAATTCTAAACATGATACATACGATATACTCCTGTAATTTTTATTACAAACAATATCAAGATAAATTGTGCGATTTGGAAAATAAGTAATATCTTTATTACAGCATCGTGTCATTATCTAACTTCTTTATATCGAGCA